CCCGCCCTCGGTGAAAATAACGCAAACCGTGAGACAAAGTCGTCGCAAAATAACAATCCAAGACATGTGGCAACACTTTATGCTTCTTTATTTCCATTCATCTTTCACAGTCATTATATATTTAAGACACGACAAACTGCAAGGTAGGCGGGTGGGTTCAGAAATTTGGCCAAGGTGGCCTAGGGAGGAGGTAGGGGTGGAGTGCCTTCAACAAACCCTGTGAATGCTTGTTGAATGAGCAAAATAGTTGTTGAACATCTACCATATGCCGCGAGGTGTGCTACGCTTCACGGAATTAGAGAGGAGTAAACCCCAGCCCTACCCTCCAAGGTAATCTAATGGCGAGAAAATAGGGAACCGGTACCAATGACCACCCAAGACATACCCATAAGAGGAACAGTGACAGGGTCTCTAGAGAGAAAGAAATCACATCCAAACAAGAGGCTCAGTAAAATCTTTTTTCAGGAAAGAGGCTAAGAGTAATAAAGATTTTGACAGGTAGAAATAGCCCTTCCAAGCAGGGAATCATCAAAAAGAATGAAGAAAGCAGGGAGTTTGGGTGTTGATTTAGGGAACAGAGTAGAGATCTGTAATTTGCCCAGGGGTTGCAGTACACGTAGGAAACCAGTTGAAAATGCAATGGAAGGGTGGTTTGGGTCACACAGGATAGACTGAGCACCAAGCCAAGGCGCTTATTCTTGCTGTAGGCAGCAGAAGCCAGTCACAACTGATTTTGGAAGATCACAAGAGTTTGATAAATGGCTTGAAGGGGAGAGACTGAAGGCCAGGAGGCCGGAGGAGGTGTTATGTGGCCCAAGGAGTATGTAAAGAGAGCCCCAAGCAGAGACACCGCAGCAGGGAGAGAATACAGGTGAAGACAAAACATGCTGGGAAGGAAGGACCGACAGCACTTGGAAACCTAAAGAAAAATCAAAGATGAGAAGAACCTAGTACTTAGTGGTCAGGGCTCTAGCTCGAAAATAGATGAAAGAAGCTAGAGTCCAAAGGACAACTTTGCTGCCTGTCCCTGGCTTCAGGGCAGGGAGGACTTGACCCAGTTAGGGCCATGGTCCCACCAGACTCTAGAAGCAAGAAGTGGCTGGTCTGAGGCTTCTTCCTTCCTAGCCCCCACCCCCACCCCAGCAAAAGCCAGAGTTCTTTGGATGCAGAAATGATCTTCTTTCCCTTTAAAAGAAATTCCATTAGAATCTGGAATCCATCCTCCTGGAGCAGGACCAGAAAGGTTCAGTGACAGTCTCTCTGCAGCCACTGCTCTCACCTCCCATTTGCCTCCCCTGCCCCTAGAAATCCTGGACACCCTCCTATCTTCCTCCTCTGAGAACAAGAGCTGGGGACTTCCTTTGTGCTCTAACCCAGTGCTGTTAGGGCTCTGAGACTCCTAGCAAGCAGGCACCTTCCTGCACTTGCCTAAGAGCATCGGGGCGGGGG